GATGAAACGAAGGATGAATTCTACCAAAAGCTGTCTAGTTTGCTGCGAAAGGCTAAACGCTCAGATATTGTCGTTTTAGCTGGTGACTTTAATGCTCAAATAGGGAAATTGTGTCACTCTGAGAAGAATGTCGGTGGCACATACGGAATTCCGTGCCAGCGAACCGACAACGGTGACCGTCTCCTACAGTTCTGTTCAGATAATCATTTGTTTCTTGTAAGCACTAACTTCAAACACAAGGAGAGAGACTGTTTGACCTGGCGACCCCCATCATCAAATCAACACTGGACACAAATAGACCACATAGCAATAAGCTATCGTTGGCGTGGGTCGGTAGGAGATTGCCGCTCCTTCTGGAACACATGTGTAGACACCGATCACGCACTGGTCCGCGCTCGTGTGTGCTTACGACTGAACGGACGTAGGAAACAGCTGGCGGTAAACCCATCACGTCCCCAGCTCGATCAGGAAACTAAGTCCCTATTTGAGGAAGAACTAGCTAAACACATATCAGAGTTCGACAGCTGCGCTCACCCTGAAGAAGCCTGGAAGAATATCCAGTCAGCCATAGATACAGCTGTAAAAGCTGTGAATAAGGTAAATTCATAGGTGAGTAAAAACCATTGGATTTCGACTGCCTCATCCGAACTGATAGATGTTAGAAGACTTATTCCGGCGAGCTCCGAATTCAGTGAGGAGCGAAGGCTGCACAAAAGCAAACTTACGAAAAGTCTCCGCAAGGACCGTGAACAGTGGTGGTTGACAAAGGCGAAAGAGATGGAAAAAGCATCGGCGATAAGCAACACTAGGCAACTCTTTTGACTAATCAGGGAAACGGGTGGGAGAAGGCAAATCATAAGTGAGACTATTTCTGAGAAAAATGGCTCCTTAATTAGCTCTCAGGATAGACGCCTTGAACACTGGAAAGAACACTTTGAGGAACAATTTAACTTGCCTACAGCCATACTGAACCTCCCCGCCATCCAGCACACACCCGAATGGGATATAGACACTGGTCCGCCGTCTGTAAGTGAGGTCACAAAAGCTATCTGTAATCTGAAATAAGGCAAAGCGGCAGGACCCGATGGAATTATTCTGGAGGTGTTTAAATATGGAGGTGACATACTAATATGTAGATTAACTAAGGTAATAGGTAACGTCTGGGAATCAGAGACGGTTCCATCAGACTGGGGTAAGTCACTTATTATACCGATATTCAAGAAGGAAGACAAGTCCTCATGTGATAATCATAGGGGGATCAGCCTAACGAACATAGTTGCTAAAATTCTAGGCTCAGTAATCATGAACAGACTAAGCAGAACTCGGGAGGAACAAACGAGGGAAAATCAAGCAGGCTTTAGGCCAGGTAGAGGGTGCATAGATCATATCTTCACTCTCCGACAGATCCTAGAACATAGACACACTTTTCGGCGTCCAACAATTGCCATATTTCTTGACTTGAAGGCAGCCTTCGACTCCGTGGATCGAAAGGTACTATGGCAATGTTTGACTGTGAAGGGAGTGCCAAGAAAGTACATTGCACTAATCAAGGCACTCTACTCAAACTCACGTAGCCGTGTAGGGGCTTATGGGGAATTGTCATCTGAATTGATAACAACCAGTGGCGTCCATCAGGGATGTCCACTTTCCCCATCTCTGTTTAACTTCATCATAGATATGCTAATGGAAGTATCCTTAACTGAACTTAACGACTTAGGAATCGAATTGTTACCTGGGGATAGTCTTATGGACTTAGAATATTCAGATGACATAGTACTGTTAGGGGAGGATGCTGACAAAATGTGGAGTCTTCTGAACACCTTGAGCAGCAATCTCCGTATGTTTGGCATGCGATTCGCCCCTGTATAATGTAAGATGCTGCTACAGGACTGGACTACGTCAACTCCTAGCTTAGTGATAGAACATATTGACCACTTCACCTATTTGGGAAGTTGTATCAGCACCACCGGACTGATTGGCGACGAAATCTCAGCACGGATCCAAAAAGCTCGAGCTGCTTTCGCTAACTTACGCCATCTTTGGCGTAGGCGTGACATCCGGCTATCAACCAAGGGATGTGTGTACTGCTCAGCAGTTCACTCCGTCCTTCTCTATGGGTCAGAAACATGGCGAATACGAGTTGAAGACAAGAAAAGGTTGACTGTTTTTGATCATAGATGTCTACGATCTCCTTCTCACGTTAGGTGGTATGATAAGGTAAGTAATGTTGACGTTAGGCGTAGTGTTGGGCAAAGAGGGAAAATCAATCGACAAGGCTATAAAGTTGCACAGATTGAGATGGCTAGGTCACGTGCTGTGCATGCGTAACCATCGCCTCCCCCGACGGGCATTACCACCTGATATAGGTGCAGCCTGGAAAAGAGTAAGTGGTGGCCAAACAAAAACATGGCATCAATCCATGAAATCCTTGACAGTTAAACTGAGTCAGGTAGGGAGATACAGACTCCCGGGCTGGGGCCCTCGGGACTCTAAGAATCAATGGCTGGAGACAATAGGTGACATGGCTCAAAATCGTTGTCAATGGCTTACGCAGATGTATTCAGTCTCTGTAATCTTTCATATTCCTTTCTACCATTACTCATTCTGTTTCACTCTTATACTTGTCAAAACTCTATTGATTCTCTTCACTCATCTTCTTGTCTACCTTTGTGTGCTATTTGGAACGTGGCAACTGGAACTGCTGCACTTCGGTGTCAAGTTCTATGTTGAATCGAGACAGAGACAGAAAGCATTCTACCCCCTCGGGTGATGCAAATAAACAAACTGGTCATTCAAAACAGTTTTTAACCATCATTTGAATTTTGAGCAACAGTGTTAACCGACCGGATGAAAACTTGGTCAAATGACTGACTAGAAATAATTCATCATGTATCCTTATTAATTACCCTGTCTATAGAGAATTTTCATCGTAATTGAAGATTATGACGACCTTACTGTATGGTCTAAATAGAAATAAGCTGAGGAACCCTTAGAACTCAGAATCTAAATATGAGGTATACATATTCATCCCCATCTCCATTTTACCACTCATTGATTCATCGCTTTTGTCTTCAACCAGACATTAGTGTTCACTTCCAATTTGAATATTTCAGTAGATATGGTCTGAGGGTGAAAGTTCAGTCAATACGTTTCAAGACAAGTCACTTATAGGCACAGTACAAATAAACATGTCTATAAGTTATTCACATCGCTAATAGTGAATATTTACTCATTCAAGCAGCAGACGATTCACACATATGAACACTTTTGGATGTTCTTCACACTTTAACATGTCTACATTACAAGAAAATAAGAAAGGTAAGCAAGAGAATGAAACGAGTAAGCACATTTATCAACTGTATTCAAAAGAACACTCATTGCCTCCTATTACTCTCAGAAAAGAAATGATGAAACTGTAGCATTTTCTTCAATAATTTCGGGTTTGGGTGATATCTAAGCTACAATCGGACGGTCTCAAAGACCACCTAGGGAGTAGAGATGCACCAATAGATGCAAATTAATCACTGATACCTTTCATCTGATAGCACCATATGATCACTACTCAGTTTCTCCAACCACTTATTGGGGTAACAAAAAACGAACGGTATGACCAATTCTGTGATCCCAAATGACTACCTCGTCTTACTATAAACTATCAGACCTCACAAGTGCTTATACGTAGACGCCACCTAATGGAAACGATTTCGCGGAAACTGTGACGATCAAGCATGCCACCGATCTTCACTTCAGAAACAATAGATTTCGCAAGCGTTTGGAAATGATGTGCATAAGTGCAGTCAGTCGGCCACAACCTGTTTACTGGTACATTATTAGCTGCTAAGGTACAAATACTTGGCGCGTTACGACCAGAATTTCCAACAGGTTGCAGACTATTATTAACGGCTGCCTTTGATGGCTCCATATCAAGGATCAAAAGGCAAGAAAGAGTCAGCAACAAGAAACTCTGACAACAAACTAACCAAGAACCTACCGCTCAAAAAATATTTAGGAGAAAGTGGAAATGGATAGGGTACACGCTGAGGAGACCATCGAATGATATTGAGCGCCAGACCACAGCTCGATGGGACCAAAATGTGAAACGAAGAGTAGGATATGTGAAGGTGACATGGAGATTGTGTGAGATGAGAAATTATGAGGAACGGTGGGGCCAGCTAATGAGGACCGCAGGAAGTACAATAAATTGGGGAAGTACAGTTGGGGCCCTATGTCCCACTGGGAGCCCAAGCGAACAATATTAATAAATAGTAAGGTAAAAATGCGCAAAACCCCGTAACAACAGACTAGGAACTAAGAATACCCATGAAGTGATGTATCCAAATACACCTGCGGGAGTCACAAACAACTAATCTCATGATAAGATTGAAATTTTAGATAGCTTTTGATGGCAAATCTGCATATGGTGCCATCAACGAAACAATGAAGCACCTGAAAAATTAGGAAAATTCGAAAGTGAAACAGATAAACATCGCAAGAGTCCAACCACAAAAGACTGAAGTGCAACACAGTCTCGAACACAATGTAGGGCGTTGACTTACAAGTAAGCTTGGATTATGGCACATGATACAAATGAGCAATGTGTATGTCTTACTTCGGACAAGTGGTTCAGCCACGAGCCGAAACTGTATATTTTTGTTTGGTCTGAAGCACTTGTCATTTCAGTTGATGTCTGGACAACCTTATTATCTCAGACACTATTGTACTTTAAATTGTGTGCAACACCCACATAGGTTACGTGGCCGCATGTAAATGAAATTCAGACAGCCGCAGACGTGTTTGAATCACAATCCATACCATGTCGACCGAAGTTACATTTGTTTTACTTTTAAGAATAACTTCAAAAACTAGGGTTCTAAACAGTTTGCAAAATAGTACATGTATATATATATATATATATATATATATATATCAAAGTAAAGTCATCCTATAAAAAGTGGTGGCACATAAATATCATGGCCGACAAAACAAGATTTTAAGATTACCTTGCGTAAGGTATATAAGATAGAGAATACCACGTCAATGCCAACGACTGTAAAATGCAGAAAAGCAAGCACAGTAGCCGGAATCCCTGGAAAAATAACTTAAATTATTTTAAAAATCATACCAGGAGTGCAAAAATGATTGTGAGAACCAGACAAACCTAAATGTTTAGTAGATTGCATATAATTAGATATTTACCAGCATGAATGTCGCTGCAAATGCCCTAGTCTCCTGAAACATACGCTTTACCTGATTTACTGGCCCCATAAGGAAAATGGTACTAGATAGGTGATATAAGTATGGATATATCGATATATGGATACATTACCTCCCAAGTGAAAAGATATTCCCAAGAGTATAAAACAGTGCAAACAAGGTAATACCTGCACCGGGGAACCATAAGAACAACGAGCCCTAACAAACTATGAGAAGAGAATTTGATAGTTTACCAGTAGTGACATCACAATGCCTATTACGAAACAAATAGCAAACGCCTTGATCCGCGTAGTCCAACTTAATGAGAAACCGTTTTCGACCTACAGAGTATGAGAAACTTAGCGCGTTTACGTCGGTTAATATCCCTTGTTCATCATCTTGTTCCCTTGAAAATAACTTCTTCAACTTATCCATGAGGATAGCGGCACAAATGGCTTATGGAGAGGCTGAGCACTTGAAGGTCACCTACGCACACTGTGATTGGTAGACTTTCCTTTGCATAGACGTTGCGGCTAATACGTGTCATACGTTACTGAGGCGGGCTTTGAAATAACAATAATAAAAGCGAATAGACATTATATTTTTTAGCTTAAGGGAACAAGTTAACATGTGTATAAATTTCTCAGATGTAATAAGCATTTGATCCACTCACTAGGAGAATATTACTGGCTAACTTAATGAAAGAAGTATAAAGTTTGAAGATTTTATCTCTTTCAGTTGGTTGTAACCCAATCCGACAAATGTGCGGAAAATCGTGTCTAAAAAGAGGACAAATCTGGGACACCCAATTGAGTTAAAAAGGAGACAAAACTCGGAAATGCTAAGACTTGTCCCCTTTGTCCCCTGAACCAGCAGAATGTCCCCTATCTGTCCCAATATAGTCCCCATAACCAGCAGAATGTCCCCCCTTCTGTCCCAATATAGTCCCCTTGATCAGCGGAATGTCCCCTTTATGTCCCAATATTCATCGTTTCTTTTATCCTAAAACGCAGAATTCCTCCTTATTACTCGCACCATTTTTCCCTAATTCTTTTAACGTCAAACACCTCACAATTCAAAGAAAGGTTCGTTATGGAACTAAATATATTTAATTTGAGTATTCGTTAAAGGAAAAAAAGGAAACAAAAATTCGACAAGTTCATTCTTAAAGATTAATGAACATTAACAGTTACAAATGATACAGACAATTAATAATAATAATCCATGGAGCAATTCAAGAAATACAAAAATATTGTCTTCGCATTAAAAAAAACCCAAGTATGTATTGGATGGATTACAAATACTTGGGAAAAAATAAAGCTTGAAGTCACATGAAGTCTAAATGCGGCTTGACATCTGCTCGCCGTCATCAAGTAGGTCCATTGACATATTCTGAAAATGAAAAAAATTTTGTTAGCAAGGTAGTAATCAAAGGTGACACTTATCCAGACATTTGACATAATCATATACTAAACGTGTTTATTGAGGTTTAAAAATTAACTTCATTATTAAGTACAAATAAATTATTTGTTCACATACAAATACTCACACTGAAAGACCTTAAGTGTGAGTAATCTCTAATGTTGAATTTCCCAGTAAACATACAAAAATAATTGAGTCGTAAAAGGTAAACCGTGTACTGTTGAATAAACTGTCTACCTAAACACCTAGTGCATGTAACTAACAGAACTGGTTTTCATAGCGCTGACAATTACACGCTATTTACTGGCAGTTGCATTATACATTTAGACAGCATTCATTTAATGAAATTGTCACTTACAGCAGAGATGTTCTGGTCACAGCAACCTGTGAAAAATAATTTGCGTTTATTGATATTCATACAAAGGTTTGCAGTATAGTAACTTTAATTTAACAGAAACTTTACTTACTCTTGGCCGGGTACACCTTTTGTAGACACGATCACGTACGTCGTAGAAGTAGGCCTTAGTAGTATCTGTCAAAGCTTTTATAACGTCCTCGGGCATCGTAGCAGAAGCGAACTTGCTGACAATGACGGCTGAAAGAAATATTTAAATAAAGCACGCTTACACGTTATAACTTTATAGAAGTGACATTTTAAGAGAACTAGCTTCTTTGATGTTCCGTACGCAGTGAAGCGACTTGACAGCTTAGGCTCCCATATGTAATTCAGCATTCGTTTCAAGGAAGACTGCGGATTGTACGATAAATTCTCAGCCAGTTTTGTCATCTGAACGTAAATGAAGGTTAACAGTGAACTTACGAAAGAATCTCTGAATTTTGGGTTTCTCACTGAAGCTTCAAGTTGGTTAAACTCTTCTTCAGTCGTCAAGGGGAATTGCAGTTGACTATTGTCAATTGACGACTTCCCGGTTCCTAAGGTGGTGACGTCGCCCGACTTATTTGCTGAAACAAACTGCCTCACCAGTTTACTAAGTGACTGCATTTCTTCTTGAAAGGAAGCCATTTTTCCATTCAAGAAGTCAAGTTTTCCTTCAATGGACTTCACTCTTTCGCTAAGGGAGTGCGACTCAGTCACCGATTTGTCATAGGAATCAGTGATTTCCTTACTGCAAAGTAACTAGTGATTAAAAATAACATACGTAGTCTGCCTATTTGACTGTGTGATTGGTGACGACGTCGCCACTGGCATTTGTGGACTGGAAGTGCTGAAGGAATAAGAATATTAAATGAATCCTCAAAAGCACTCTGTCCACGGTGGTGACTTGACTGCATCCTTTGACGGAAGCTGTCATCAGTCCGGATTGGAAAAATTCCATTTCTGAATGTCGTTCTGCCGTCAACTTTTCTTCCAGTAACTGTGCATTTGTCGCAACCTGCACTGGCATTATGACCTACTATAAATTTCACGTCCGCTCTGGCCGGTGCATCACAGATGACGGCTGTCAAACGAACGTTGAAATGCCTATTCAGTTTGGTAATGTGTATGCCTTGACTTAATATATCCTTTAGCTCAGATACTAAGTCATTGCATAACTCTCTATAACTGCTCGGTTTGCTAGGACCACCGTATATACCTATCATGAATACACTACTCAAGAAAGGTGCCGTAATTCTACCTAACAGGGGCCATAACTGCTGGTTAGAAGACTTGGAGATGGACAATCCGTCGACATTCAACTGCAGCTCAATCGTCTTGTAGTGACTTTCAACCATGTAGTGCTGTAGGCATTTTTGGAGACCGATGTGGCAATACATTCCCTCTCCAAGTAGTCTAGACTCGCAAGAGCCACACATTCTGAGGACACTTCGAACACTTGTCGGTAGTTGGGGCAATTTCGCACGGAATACCTCCAAGATTCTGTTAGCGGCTGCTTGTGATATGTTCCCGGTCACCATGATATTGAGTAGCATGCTTGTCATTTCATCACGTTCAGAAGAGACTTGTGGGCACATTTGTGAAGTACTAGCAGCTGGTGTTAGGCTGCTGCAAGGTGGCGATGGCACTACTTCGGTTTCAATGGTCATGGTATCAGTGTTCACTGAAGATGACTCGACTTCAACAGGAGGGACAGCATGTGCGACAGCCTCCGTTGACATCGACGCTAGTAACTCCGCATAGTTACGTTTATACCTTCTGTAAAATGTGGTATAATGGCAGGTCAATCGTAGGTTACGTTCACGTAATCTTTTTAGGCTTAATATAGGGTATTTAGTGTTAGACTAGGAGAAAAATTAGATATGAGCCACAGCGACCACTAACCTGCATCGTGAACAGTTTAAAAGTGCGCGCACACTGTGTGACTGTAAACCAGATAAACAAAAAAGGGTGCGCTGCAATTATGACTAGCCATCATAAGTTCACCAAACACTCTGTCCGCAACATCTGTATCAGTTTGTCCCCGTCGGTAGTGATTTTCGACCAGTCTTTGCAGTTTTCGTCACCACCAGATCCGTTCCCCAATCCGACAAATGTGTGGACAGAAAGGGGACATTTTTGGGACGATGTGGACAAAAAGGTTTATTTCATTTCCGATTGGGACATAATCCGATGAAATGGGACATTAAGGGGACAAATTTTATGAATTGGGACATATTCCGAATAAAGGGGACAAAGAGTGGACAACATGGAAAATTTAAATGTACACTGGAGGTTACTGATAAATTGTAAGTAGTAAAATTTTATGTCGAAATTACGTTACAACTACTTCAAATGCATAAAACTTATCAGTTAATTGATATGTTTTTCTTAATGTGATTATAATTACATTTATTCATCTACAGTTTCCGGTTGAATATTTTCAAAACATCCTACAAGCAGAAGACAGAAGTAAGTGCTAACACTTAAAAGTAATAATGGTAGTATTATTTTCCTGATAACTAAACCATTTTCTGTCATACACTAATCCAGACAGACACACACGCATACACACATGTGTATGTTTGTATATAAGTGTACATAATTTAAGAATAGTGACCAATAGCATTACATTGCAGTCACACTGAGAAATTTACCTGTGACTTGTTATTGTCACTTTGACTGTGATAATGTAAGAGGTCAAGGTTTTTGCGAATAATGTCACTCATGCGACTCGTATGAGTCACAGGATATCGTGTCACGAAGATGGTTTTATATGTGGGTTCATGCTTACTGGCCAATCAGTGGAGTTTATGAAAACATCTGTGGTCAATGTTAATTGCAGCGCACCCTTTTTTGTTTATCTGGTTTACAGTCACACAGTGTGCGCGCACTTTTAAACTGTTCACGATGCAGGTAAGTGGTCGCTGTGGTTCAGATCCAAGCAGGCGGCGCAAAGATTTGCAGAAAAGTTATTTCACGACTGCAATTCAGGAGCAAGACACGATAACCTTAGAGATGAATGTGAAATAGATGTAGATAGGCGAATAGTTCACACCAAGCGTACAGTTATCACTTCCTCTCCACCAGATAACTTCGTCATAGCCTACCGTTAACCTGGTCGTATAACGCATATACACAAGGACAGGCTGACATTTAGACCTTATATAGACGCTTGTGATTTTTTCGACCAGCCATTTAAGTCATCAAATATTGGAATATGGAAATGCTCCAAATTAATCTCGAGGAGACATTGCCCCTAACCAATTCCAAACGTCAAAGGTAGATTCCTCTTATCCGTTAATGACACAATACAGAGTGGGGACAAAGAACTTCGCCTCGTACGTTTATGACTCAGCTGAACTGGAAGCTGCGGAGGCACAGAAGGTGTGTTGGTCATCTAAATAGCTATGCATAGCTATGATGCAGCCATAAAAACTCTACAAATGTGATTTTTTTCACTGGATT